CATGCGGTCCAATTTTTCAGCCTTTTTTTTTTTTTTTTTTTTCCCCTCCTCCTCTTCGATCTTTGCTTTGTGTATTCCACTTCGTGTTTCCCGTCTCTCTCTCTCTTCATCACCATCTCCCTCTTTTGTTCGAGTCGCCTTTCGCAGCGCATGGTCTCACCAAAACTCTCCTTTCCTCTCCAGGGTCTCCCTCCGTCTCCAGAAGCGCCTCGCCGCTTCCGTCCTCAAGTGCGGCAAGCGCAAGATCTGGCTCGACCCCAACGAAGTCGTCACCATCTCGAACGCCAACTCGCGCCAGAACGTCCGCAAGCTCGTCAAGGACGGTCTGATTGTCAAGCTCCCCCAGACTGTTCACTCGCGCAGCCGCGCTCGCGAGCACCTCCTGTCCAAGCAGAAGGGTCGCCACATGGGCCACGGTCGCCGCAAGGGTACCCGCGATGCCCGCATGCCCCAGAAGATCATCTGGATCCGCCGCATGCGCGTCCTCCGCCGCCTCCTCCGCAAGTACCGCGAGGGCAAGAAGATCGACAAGCACCTCTACCACGAGCTGTACATGAACGCCAAGGGTAACGTCTTCAAGAACAAGCGTGTCCTCATGGAGTTCATCCACAAGCGCAAGGCTGAGAAGGCCCGCACCAAGATCATCGTCGACCAGGCTGAGGCTCGCCGTGCCCGCACCAAGGCTGCCCGCAACCGTCGCGAGGAGCGTCTTGCCAAGATCCAGGTCGTCCCCGCTGAGGAGTCCAAGACCGAGAAGAAGGCTGAGAAGAAGACCGCCAAGCAGACCGAGAAGGCTGCCCCCGCCAAGGCTGCCCCCGTTGCCGCTGCTGCCCCCGCCGCCGCTGCTCCCGCCAAGAAGGCTGCCCCCAAGAAGAACTAAATTGCATGAATAGCTGGCAACGGCTGTTTTTGTGCCCCATATACCTGGTTTTTCTTTTTCTTTTGGGCCTTCCTTTTTGTTCCCGCGCCCTTTGTGCCGCCCCTCCCTCTTCCCCTCCGTTTCTTTTGTCTTGAATGCTTCAACAAAGGAAGCCGAGGCCGATTTTTCTATTTTGAAATGGTGCATGCTGCCGTTCTGTTTCCGTTTTTTGTCTGTTGTTTTGTCTCTTCCCTGGCTCTATACAAGAGGAGACAGGCTGTTGTCGTCCCTTTCACGGGGGATTGGCTTCAGTCGGGCTTTGGGGAGGCAAAATTTTCGACAAGCAGCATTTTTTCTTTCTGTAGCTGTTTCTGGATGGATTTTGTCCTTTGGCTTTTTTTTTCCTGTTCCGTTGTTGTGTTTGGCTCCTTTTTTGTGGGCTCTGCTGTTCTCTGGCTGTTTCCACAATACAAAAGAACTGTTTCTGTGAACCACGATCTGTTCATGTTATTGCTCCCAAATCCAGAAATTGGAACTTTACAGAAATTGGGGCTGAAATTTTATCGTTATTTTTTGTGTTGGCGCTACCTCCCAACGCTGAGAAGACAAGACAAAGACATACAAACAAGCAGGTAATCCACAGCAAAAGACGAGAAAAAATATTAGAAGGGGGGGGGGGTTAAATGGTCGTTTGGTTTTCGAATCGGATGTTGTGGGCGTTGTTCGTGCATGTGAGATGTTGTTGGTGTGTATGCCAGCTTGAGCTGTACAAAAACCCTTGAGCGTGTGTGTTTAAACACCGTTGGAGCGAACAGTCTGGAAGATTTGGAAGATGGCTGGAAACAAAGCAAAACACAAACGGAAAAAACGTCAGAGAAAGAACGAAAAATGCTTCAACTACGAGCGCGTGCGTGCGTGTGCGTCCTCCGCGAGAACAACACATGCTACAAATAGCAAGGATGGATTCATCGAGCAATCTTACCAGAGCCGCAGACAACAAAGATGAACAGCGCAAGGACGGCGGGGCCGACGGGGTACTTGTCGTCCTGCCTCTACAGACAGACAGGCAGACACCGGCAAACAAACAAACGAACGTCAGTAACAAAGACCCACATCCACAAGCAAGCAGCACTGCTCGACTGTTGATGGTTTTAGCACACTACGCATCAGACTGAGCCACTGGTTTGGTTTCGTGGCTGTTTTGATAGAATGGTTGATATTTGATTTTTTGATTTTTTTTTTTTTTGATTTCCCTTGTGATCTTGTTGTTTTCGATTGCGACGCTTGGCCGTTGTTCGCTGCCAGATTGTACAGCTCTCGACGCACATAGCTTCGATACATGTGAATCCACAGATTGCCCACGCCAGATGTCGATCGTCCTGCACCGTCCTGCACCGTCCAGCAGCAAGCAGAGGAGCAGAATAACGGATCGCAGATTTTTTTTTTTTTTTTTCCTTCTCGCTCTCTTCAGGTTCTTCTGCTTCAGTTCAGCGGATGTGGATTCGTGTGCAAATAAAAGTGCAGAGCTGTGAATGTCGTGTTGTTGTTGTCGTGTCGTACAGTGGTGGGCTTGACGATGCCGCGCTTGTTGACGTTGCCGTGGAAGGCGTCGTTGGACTTCTTCATGCGAGCCGAGCCAGCCATTATTTTGGATTGTGCGAGTTGTTGGATTCAGTGAAGACTGGACCGCCAGCTTAATAAAACAAACAGCTACAAATGACGATCAGAAGACACGGAGCATACAGGATAACTGACTCTGTTGTCGATTATATGCGCTGTTGTTTGGGTCACTTTCTCAGACTTTGAGTTCAATCCATTTTTTTTTTGGTTTTTTTTTTTTCGTGTTCAGAGTGTTTCACTCGCAAAACTCATTCACATCAAACAAACAAACGCAGAAGAAACAACAAGCTCCAAGCTAGCATGGTCGTGTTTGGCGTCTATGTGATCAACAAGGCCGGCGGCCTCATCTATGGCCAGGAGCTGGGAGCAACGCCCAAACTGCGCGCCAACGACCGTCTCACCCTCGCGTCCATGTTCCACTCGTGCGTCTGCGTTGCTTTGTGTGTTGTTTGCGTCGTTCAAGGCTGGGCCCGTGCGAGAGCCCTCGAGCAGAGCAGCAGACTTTTTCAACCACTAACGCTTCATCCTTTCTGCTCTGCGCTGGCTTCAGACTCTATGCCATCACAAGCAACCTCTCGCCACAAGTACAGTCGTCGGGCATCGAAGTCATCGAGACGGACACATTCAAAATCCAGTGCAAGCAGACCCTCACAGGTTAGGATGAATGAAAATTGGACTTGAACCAACCAACCAAAGGGTCGCAACAACCAGCCAAACCAACTCACGCGTCGTTGTTGCATCTCGTGGCTGCCAATAACAGGCACAAAGTTCTTTGTCATGTCGGATCCCGCACACACGGGCTTGGACGCGCTGCTCCGCCGATTGTACGAGCTGTACAGCGACTATGTCTTGAAAAACCCCTTCTACACGCCAGAGATGCCCATCCGGTGCGAGCTCTTTGACATTAATCTTGCACGGCTGATGGAGCAATATGAAAGCGGAAGGGCGCTGACCGCTACGTTCTAGGTTGTGAGATGGATGGGCATTTTGTGTTTTTCTTGTACAAAACGAAAAAGAAGAATTGTTTGTTGCTTTCAGCCCTTGATTATACCAGAACAACAACGACACAAAAGCCCAACCGACACAATGGAGCAACTGAAAAACAAAAACAAGTGTAATAATCGACAAAAGAGAGTAACATAGCATGAAACGACCAAGAAATTTACAAACTAAACTCTAGTGGCCAGAAAGGGAACGCAAACTATCAAATGGTGAACTGCCGTGATGAATGAAAAATCAGCTCGATCAACGACAGCTGAAAACCAAACGGCAGACAAGTGCAAACAAAAGAAAAAGAAAAGAGAAAAAGCGAAAAGCTTAAATGCTGGACTCGGCCTGCAGGTCTTCCATGTCGAGACTAAAGTCTTGCGGGGCAAAGGTCGCTACGGCAATGCCGGACGACAGAACCAGGGACGGGGACGCGCCTCCGGAGGGCGAAGGGGAGTCGTCGGTGAGCGGCGGCGAGTGGAAGCGGTTGGTGTGGCTCAAAGATGCGGGGGACACATCGGCAATGGCGGACAAGCCCAGCTGGCCCGGATTGACGATGGGTTCGAATGCAGACATGGACATGGGCGGCGAGTTGGATGTGCTGCTGGGCAGGCCCGACGGAGCGTCAGCAAGGCCCGCAGCGTGGGCAGCGTGAACTGCTGCTGCAGCGTGCGGTTGCGCAACGGGGGCGTGGATGGAGCGATGTCCGCGCTTCTTGGGCGCACCTTGCGAAGTCTGGGCCAAGGAGTCAATCACGGACGCACAGGTTGTCCAGCCGCGAAGACGAGCGCACTCGGCGGGCGTGTGGCCCTCTGGATCGACCACGTTGGCGAGCGCGCCGTGATGCAGCAGCAAGCGGCATGCTTCAATGTGGCCCTCCAGCGCGGCCAGGTGCAGGACAGTCTTGCCCGTGCTGGTCAGGCCAGTAATGGGCGCATGCGCCGTCAACAGCGCGCGCATGACTGGGACGGCGTTCAGGGCAGAAGCCCAGTGCAGGGCAGTCCAGTTCTTGCGGTCTTGGCTGATCAAGAGCGACTGCGACATGTGACGCTCGAGCAAGTTCAAGGCCAGCTCCGTGCGACCATGGCGGATGGCAACCATCAGCGGCGTCGAGCCTCGGCAGTCGGCAGTGCAGGCCATGGACGTGGCCAGCGAAGGATCGGCTTCAATCAGCGCAAGCGCGACGGCGTCGTTTCCAGCGGCACAGGCCAGGTGCAGTGGCAACTGCCCGGAATAGTCCAGCTGGGTGGGCGAAGCGCCAGCGCGAAGCAGCTCTTGCACCACCAATGCGCACACTTCGGGTGTGCGTTCATGCGGCACATCCGAGCTCGGGGGCGACGCGTGGTGGCAGACGCCTTGCAAGACTGGCGGCGTAGCCGTGCCAGAGTTGCCTCCGCTCGCGGCGCAGACCAGATGCAGCAATGACATGCCCGTTGCCGGGTCGGCCGAG